AACCAGTAGCCGCGCCTGTGCATATTCGCCAGAGGTCATGTTCTAATGAGGCTATAGTGGCAATATATGAGAGTATTCAAAGGTATCTGAAGGCAGGGATTTTGGTGCCTATTCAGTCGCCTTGGAACACCCCCATATTGCCCATTAGGAAGCCAGATGGATCCTACCGCCCGGTCCAAGACCTCCGGGTCATCAATTCCATGACAGTGACCATTCACCCTGTTGTGCCCAATCCATACACTTTATTGAGCCTGATTCCACCCAAAGCAGCGTGGTTTTCTGTTATCGACCTGAAGGACGCGTTTTTCACGATCCCAATTCACGAGGCAAGCCAACCCTTGTTTGCCTTTGAATGGGAAAACCCTAGGACTGGATTGAAATCACAATACACTTGGACAAGGCTACCACAGGGTTTTAAGAATTCACCTACCCTGTTTGGTACTGCCTTGGGAAAGGATTTACAGCATTTTGTGCCTCGGCAAAGGGGGGATACCCTGTTGCAATATGTAGATGATGTGTTGGTCACAGGTCAGACAGAGGACACCTGTTGGGACAATACAGCCTCCTTGTTGGGGTTGTTGTCCCAGTGTGGTTATAGAGTGTCTAGGAAAAAGGCCCAATTGGTGAAGCAGAAGGTGCGTTATTTAGGGTATGATATTGGGCATGGACATAGAGCCTTGGGATGGGAAAGAAAGCAGGCAGTTTTGGCCATAGCTGAGCCCACAAACCGGAGACAATTACGAGGTTTTCTGGGCTTGGCTGGGTTTTGCCGTATATGGATTCCAAATTATGCCCTTATGGCAGCTCCGTTATATGCAGCTACAAAGGGGGGTGAACATGAGTTGTTTTGCTGGGGGGGAGAACAGAAAAAGGCTTTTAGGGATGTGAAGCTGGCACTTACGTCGGCTCCAGCCATAGCTTTACCAAATCTGGAAAAGGCTTTTAATTTGTATGTGGATACTAGGGATAATGTGGCTTTAGGAGTCTTAACTCAACAACTAGGCCAGTGGCAACGGCCGGTAGCATATTTGTCTAAACAATTGGATGGAGTGGCACAGGGATGGCCACATTGTTTGAAGGTCCTTGCTGCTATAGCAGTCTTGCTGCAGGACTGTAATAAATTGACCTTCTCATGTCCTGTAAATGTACACACTCCCCATGCAGTGCAGGCCATTCTAGATAACAAAGGGCATCTGTGGATAAGCAATCAAAGGCTTTTTAAATATCAAGCTCTAATGATTGAAAATCCACAAGTAAGGTTGATTGTCTCAAATCGGTTGAATCCAGCCACTTTGTTGCCAGGAGACATCAATATGGAACATGATTGCTTGCAAGTGTTGGAGAGTGTTTATTCTAGCAGGCATGATTTGTCGGACATCCCTATGCAGACAGCTCAACTCAATTGGTATACAGATGGGTCCAGCTATATGCATGAGGGAAAAAGAGTTTCAGGCTATGCTATAGTAGATGATGAGAAAGTGGTGGAGAGTGGGCCTTTGGGCCCTGAACATAGTGCACAAGTGGCTGAATTGTGGGCATTACTTAGAGCATTGGAGAGAGCTGTGGGTGAAACTTTGAATGTGTGGACAGACAGTAAATATGCTTTCCTAACTTTACATGCACATGGGGCTGTGTACAAAGAGAGGGGATTTCGTGACTCAGCAGGAAAATATGTACAACATGGACACCTCATTCAACGCCTCCTTAATGCAGTGCAGATGCCAACTAAAGTTGCAGTGATGCATTGTAAGGGGCACCAGAGAGGAGTAGATAAGGTGGCACAAGGGAATAGGAGGGCAGATTTGGAAGCTAGAATTGCTGCTAGGAGAGGAGAGTCTACCATAGATCTCTCCATACATGTGGCCATGGATCTGGGAGTTATACCCCCGACAATCCGACCAACGTATTCCCAGCAAGAATGTGTTAAGGCAGTTACAGATCTTAAGGCAACTCTTAAGGATGGATGGTATGTGTTATCGGATGGGCGTATCTTTGTTCCACAGTCCTCAGCTTGGGCTTTGGTTCAATCGTCGCATGATGCAACCCATATGGGTAAATTAGGGCTGGAGGAGGCATGGGGGCGAGACTATTACATCAATGGAGTGGCTGGTATGGCAGCTCGAGTTGTCTCCCAATGTGCTACCTGTGCCAAGGTGAATCCTAGGCAAGGACCTCTCTTACCCCCGGGCACTATACCATCATCATTTATTTATTTATTTATTTATTTAATTTAATTTATATGCCGCCCTTCTCCCTGCGGGACTCAGGGCGGCGCACAACATATTTAAAACCAAAGCATATATACAATCCCCCCCTATAAAACCGAATTAAACCAAATTTTAAAGTTGTGTCTTCCAAATTCCTAAAAATGAACCCAGTATAAAATCCTCCCTAGGTCAGGT